TCGCACATCGATGTTTCTCTCCCTCTTTCTCCCTCCCTTCCCCTCTCTCTAAAAAAAATAAATAAATTTTTTTTATAAATAGAGAAATAAAATTAAAATTCATTAATTTCTTCATGTTCCTGTCACTCTAGGTGGGGGAAATAATAATATATAACAAAATAGTCTCTGCCCTCATGAAGCTTACACTATGTTTAGTGGAGAGAGACTATACACACACAACATAAGGAAAAATTGTTATAAAAAAAAATGAAGCCAATGAGGCCTTGTATGAGGAGGGGATGAGCTTCAGGCTCTACAGGATGGTCACGGAAGACCTCACTGAGAAGATGACCCATGAAAAACAGCGTCTAAAGCAAGTGGAAGACTAAACCATGTGAATATCCGGGGAAACTGTTTCACCTAGAAAGAACAGTTAAGTGCAAAGTCTCTAGGGTCAGAGTATGATAAACATGTTTGAGAAACAGCAAGATGGCCAGTGTGACTGGAGCTGAATAAAAAAGGACAGAAGTCGGAGATGAAGTCAGAAAGGGATCCTATGATGCAGGGAGCAGAGGACTTCACTCCCAATGAGATGGGAAACCCCCTCTGGAAGGCACTGAGTATGACCTGACTTTTTATTGCGATCAGATCACTCTGGTTGCTGCTGCCCTCAGATGTTAAGAGGGCGAAAGAAGAAATCAGATCACTAGGAAGTGATCACAGTAATCTAGGCTGATGCTGGCATGGACAGGATATTGGTTAAGGTGATGAAAAGCTGTCAGATTCTGGAAGTATTCTAAACACACAGCCAACAGGATACACTGATGGAACGACAGAGTAAGTGTGAAGGATAAGGATCAAGGACGAATCCAAGGTTTTTGGCCTGGGCAGATGAAAGGATGCCACTGCCCTTTACCGAGATGAGGAAGATTGTGGGAGCAACAGATTTGGCATGGGGGTTGGGGAATGGCACGGGGAATTCAGAGTTTAGTTTTGGCCATTTATTAAGGGCTGCTTTCAAGAAGTCCAATGTGAGATGTGAGATGAACAGCTATATATGTGAGGCTAAAGTTTTGGGATCAAATCTACTAAAGATATAAATTTGGAAGCCATGTATGTACAAGTGGTATTTAAAACCATGAGACTATTTATGGCAATTCATGTACCTTAAAAATGATGGAAGGAGATTTGACTTGGGGTGGCGAACACATAATACAATATATAGATGATGTGTCATAGAATTGCATATCTGAAACCTGTATAATTTTATTAACCAATGTCACTCCAATAAATTCAAAAAATAAAATAAAATTTAAAAATATCAATCCTATTCCAACTCTTCCCCCTCAAAAAAAAAAGAGAGAGAATAAGAAGGAGGAGGAAAAGGAGGAGGAGAAGAATAAGAGGAACACTTCCTATCACGTTCAATGAGACCAGCATTATCCTGATACCAAAGCCAGAGATTCCATAAAAATCTATACACCAATATTCTTTATGAATAAATGTACAAAAATCCTCAACAAAATAACAGTATACCACATCGGATAGCACATTAAAAAGGATTATACATTATGACAAAATGAGATTTATCCTAGGAATGTAAGGGTATTTCAGCATAGGGAAATCAAAGTAATACATACAGCACACTAATAGGACAAAGAAAAACCACCACCTGACCATCTCCACAGATGCAGAAAAGCATCTGACAAAAATTCAACACCCTTTCATGACAAAAAAACATTCAGCAAACTAAGAATAGAAGGATAGCCTTTTCAGCAAATGTTGCTGGAACAACTGGACATCTATATACAAAAATTATCAACTTGAATCCATATCTTGCAACATATATAAAATTAGGATGTATGATCCTATTTATATAAAACCCCAGAACATGCAAACTATAGTAACAGAAAGCACATCAGTGTTTGCCAGGGATGGAGGTATGAGGGTGAGGAAAGAGGGGTCACAAAAAGGCACAAAGAAACAAGGACCTTGGTTGTGATAATTTCCTATGAAGGTATATCAAGTCTTATGCAATCCTATACTTTAAATATGTACAATTTATTGTGTGTTATTATCTCAATATAGCTTTTAAAAAATACTTTTTAAAAAATGATCTGCATAAAAAATATTAATTCTAAGTGATACTTGAGTTGGTAATGTTTCCTATAATTTTCATCACTCTTATGAATATATATTGAAGTGAGTTGGTATTACAATGATTAATGGCATCCATTACAAACATGCAGATTTTTGGGGAGGGGAGGATGAATTATGGACTTCAGATTATCAAACCTTGCCCATTTGTTAACTATATGAGAACCTTACCTCTTCAGAATGCAGCTAAGAAGATCGAGAGTCAAAATATGTCTGTGGGTAGACAAGGACAGTCCTAAAATCCATGCAATTAAGTCCATGGACTTCAGTAACTAATATAACTCCCTGCAAGTCCTTGTTCTGATCTGAAACATGCAAACAGCAATCTAGGACCATTTGGTTAAACTGACAGAGGCCCATCAAAACACAAATTCTTATTAGCAACTTAGGGCATCAACATATAATAGGATAGCACAATATAAATATAGGTAAATATACATGATAATCATAATAGGGATCGTTTTGTAGGTCCCCTTATTCCAGGCACTATACGGAGTATCTGTAAGTATAACTCTTCATTTCTAATCCTTACAACAATCCCTCAAAGTATCAACAACATTGTGCCCATTTTTCAGATGTGGAGCAAAGGCCAAAGAGGTTTAGTATCTTGATCACAATGACATCAGAAGTAGTAGGGCCAAGACTGAAACCTAGCGCTGCCTGAATCTGAAGCCAGTATGCTTTAAACTAAAGCATAAGGTGAAATCATATTCTGCATACTCTCATGAGATGCTAAGGGAGTTATCTATTACAATTATCACCTAAAATGTTTAAATTCTTACACGTGGAGTAAATACATAGAGGAAAATTCATACCTCAATGGTGAACAAAACAAAGTACTAAAGTATGCTCTATACTCTCAATTCATAAAAATAATTGTATAGATGTATGTAGACTGGCTGCTATGCAAAAATATAGAAACAATATTTTCTTAGCCCAAGAATGATATTCCACTAAGACAAACATTTTAATTAAATTTTGTTCAACACAACAGTTTCTTAAGGACATTATTTTAAATAAAGTTGACTTGTGGAAAAAAAACACTTGTTATTTGAAAATAAAAGGCAAAAGTTAGAATAGAAAATGTAAGATGTGTGTGTCAGCCTGTGTCTGAAAACCTCTAGAATTATTTCCAATACCCTTTTGTTATTCCATTTAGAATATTAAATTTAAAAAAATCTTGTCATAAAATGGCAATGGAAAGACAGGAAAAAACAAAATCAACAAACCATATAAACATCTCAAATTCTGTCATAAAATCAAACCTCTTCCCTCATCAATCTTAAACTGGATTTTAAACAAGTAATGAAATTGACTAGCTTTAGTTTCATCAGTAATATTGCATATGAGATACCACAGCGCCTTAGGTATGACAAATGTCCAAGGAATGTTCACTATAAGGCAATTCAGAGAAGTCAAACAAAAGGAGAAACAAATGATAAAATCCACCCTAAATCTACAGAGGATGCTTCCTGCTCCACCACACCACTGTAATGAATAATCAAATAATTGCCTATTATTTTTGCGAAGGAGGGAGGGAAGGGAGAGTTCAATCATCCCCAGGCCTCCTTTTAAATTACCAAAAGTTCTGTGAACCCAAAGATATTGATAACTTCTCTTCCATAACCAGATGCTATTCTTTGTAACACTCCCTTTTTCCTAGCAGGGATGTTGTTATGTTTTCAGTACCATCTAAAGAAAAATATAAGCCTTCAGATACAATTTTACTGTCTCAAAGTTCCCTTCCAAAGGCATGACTCCATCTTTTCTCACAGACTTCAAAATCTCATTGAAAGACTAACTGGTAAAAGACTTTTAAAAAAGGAGTAACTTTAATTATAAGAATCTCAGGGTTTCTTAATCTAAGAAAGCATACCACATTTTTATGACTTTGCTTAGGGAAATAACTAACTAGCTAATTTCTAGAATGTCGTATTAAGTAAGTTCAGCGTACTCAAATTTGATCATTTTTTAGGATCAATAAATGTGCAATTCTATTGGAAGGAATCTCTTTACATTTTTAGAAGCAATGTAGTGTACTTTCAGGAATGCTCCAAAAAGCTTGGAAGTTGTACACTGAAGTACATAGGCACCTAACCATTAACTAAACATAGTATATTCCTAATAAAAATTCCTGCTTGACTCACATGATTAAATCTAAAAATAATTCAAGATACTGTTTGGTAAAACACGCTTTTTTATACCCCTTTGGGTAATCAAACTCACCTTCACCATCATGCATTTGACAATTAAGATGTAAAGCTACACTTCTGAGTTAATAAAGTGTCTATTAATATTTCACATGGCCTGTCATTTTACACATGCTAAGTAAATCAGATTAAGAATGAATGGATTAATATGTAATGGACACAGGAACAATTACAGATGTATTTGTATACACGGATTAATATACACATAAATACACATGCATATGTTCCACAGCTCTGTCCTTTGAGAGGGTCTAGAAGCAGTGATACCCCAGTAACAATGAGCGTTGCCCACTCCAGATCCTGATTTCCAAATACCATTCTCCAATAAAAGGCACCATTTTCCCAACCAATTGACTCTAGGGCTCAGATGGGAAAATTAAAAATGAAACTGGAATATCTTTGTAGTACCCAAAAGTAAGTGCTCAAATCTGCACTTTAACTCTTATGTTTCATAATAGGTCGATTTCTGTTAAGTAAAGGGAGAAAATCCCATTTCCATTATAATTATCCATTTATGATTAATAACTGTTGCTGCTTCCCTCCTTCACCCCAAATATGCAACCCTGCATTCCCTAATCCCCAAAAGTGCAGAGTAAAGAGGGACACATATAAATGGCAAAAGCAGTTAAAATTAGTCTCAAAATCAAATCATACCGTGCAAAATTCAAGCTTTTTACCAGTTCATCTAATATGCGGTTATTTTTCAGGTCTGGCTCTGTGACTGTCTAGAAAAGAAAAACACCAGATGGGAAAAGGTCAGAAAAAATAATTTACTTGTCATAATCTTGTTTTTGAAAATGTGTGACCCATCCTCCTGAGACTTCCCATCCCATTAAGTCTTCTAGGAAAGCCTCAAAATAAAGTTCATTTTATTTCATACTAACATGGTATTTAAAAACAATGACTCAGAATCAGCCAACTAGAAGTCTGATAAAAACTCCTCAAAGTATATGGTAAAATCATATATACTCTGTACTAAGATAAAACCTAATAAGAGCAAGAATGCCAGCACTTAGCTTTACCAAAAATTTCTCTTAAAGAACAAAAAAAGATGCTCTTTTTTAAGTGATAATATTGGGAGGGACCTACAGGTCCAAAGGGAGCTTAAAAAACAAGACCGGTTTTCAGGAATGCAAGAGGAAAACGGCAAAACCAGTGGTTACTTGGCACAAATGGTATACAGTTTATCTCCATGATGATGACAAAGACAGTGTGCCTTAAGTTTTAAGAGCTTAGACCTGAGAAACAAACTATCATTTCTTACATAGCGTTTTTACATAGTAGCTCAGAGAAATTTTGACACTTTGTACCTACTAGAGGCATCACCCAAATCTTTAATCTAGTCCAGGTGTCCTTTCTGTTAGACCTTACTATCTCTTTTACTTCTTTCTTTACTTATGTTTACTTTCCCTTTTAAGTTATCTTTTCATCTATTTCCACTACTTGAAAAGCTTCAGACACAAGTAACAACAAATTTCCTAGTGCTGGTACTGAAGGTCTGTTTTGGGAAAGAAACAAGGGGCCAGTTAGGCTGGGTTCAGCCCAATGGCCATGAATCTTTGTTTTGTGCACAAATACAGCATCATTTGCAAATAGATAATCCTACCATCAAATTTTCTACCCAATATGAGAAATTATAAAAAATGAAGACCCATAAAAAATGGGTCTTAAGATTTGAGTGCTACATTCTCAACCTGAAGTTAGTTTTTGTCTCCTCAAATACATTTAGGTTATCAGGAATCCCCATAAAAACTTGAACAAAGCCCAGTTCTCCACGTATGTGTTTTAGAGCTCATTCTGGAAATGTCTTTTATATGGTTTAAGTCAATAATTACATATATTCCCTTCGGCTTTTGTATACACATGGAGCAGAAATATTTGCAACAACCAATAAGATTTTTAAGACAAAAAAAGGAAAAAAAACTCACCACACAACAAGTTGGACATTGTGTTTTATAGGACAAAAATTTTCTTATACAGAGAGAACAGTCTGCAAAAACATAAATGCAACATAAATTAATTAAGTTATATTAGTAATACAGGAATATAACCTCTAACGAAATCTGACTTAAGTTCTAGAATATTCCCATCATCTAAGGTATATCATTGCAATCTCAAAATTCTAGTACCTGTAGCTAGCGACCTATTAAGCACATTGTGAATAAGATTAAACAACATTTTTAGGAGAGAGAAACATATCAAATAATAACAGTGAGTCCTCAGGACATCACAACTCCATAAGCAGCATGTATCTCTCTCTATATCCTCCAACTATACCACGCAGGAAACATGCATGTAAGGCCTGGGATGGATATTGTATTAACGTGTCAGGTATCTTTACTGCCTAATATTCTAAAATATAAACTTGAAATATGATACAAACACTTTATGAAGTGTTTATGATATACCCAGGTTATCAAATTAGGGATTTCTACACCCTAACTTTATAAATGATCGTCCATCATCCCACACTTAACAAGTACTTTTGTGGCAAACACTACACTAAGAAAAGAACAACATATAATGAAAGATTCTTGACCTCAAGGAGCTTACAGAATAGTGAATCAATTACACTTTAATAAATCCTAAAGACTTAAGTAGGAAACTGACATGAACTAAGTTCTTCACACCCAAACCAGTATAAAATGATCTCCCAAAAAAAAACACCCAATGTGACCAATATTGTAGAATGGTACCTTACTGGTAGACAATCTGCTATTAGCCCAAATTCAGATTAGTGAAGGGTCTTCATTTAAAACAGGATTCAGTTTAGTGAAAGAGGAGGAGGCAATATGATTTCAGATACAGACATCCAGCAAATGAACGAGTTATACCAGCCTCAGTAAGAACATCCAGGAGGAAAATTTAGAACAAGTTATTAAAAAAAAAAAAAAAAAAAAAAAAAAAGATAAAACAGGCAGAGTTAAGTTCTTTGGGAAGCAAAGATGAATAAAGGAGACTTCTGGCTTCTGGTTGGGTATGTAAGGAGCTTGGAAGTCCACACTCTATCAAAGAAGAAAAAAGCTGAACAGACTGAGAAAGCAACAACTCTTCTTAGATCCATCAGAGGAGGAGGGTCACAGAGCAAACTTGCTGCCCCCTAAAATTGGAGAGACAGGCAGGCTGGATACAGAGAATAACAACTTACCAAAATAGAAACCCATGACCCGTAACCTACATGGAAATCAGGGAAGAAACCTCTGCTGGTACCAGAGCTGGGGTAGGAAAACCTGGACTGTAATTGACAAATCGCTGGAGGCTCAGTGTGGACAAGTCTGAGTTTCGAAACTCCAGGGCAATGTGATATTTTGGGGGTGGGCTCACACTGAGTTTTAACTCCAAGAGTTCTACCAGGTTTTCAAAGTGACTATCAGACAAAAATCCCCTAGTTCTTCTGCAAAGGGAGGGCCAAAGTAGTAATTTTGACATACACCAGAGCACTGCGCTCTTCTTATCAAGCAAGACCTGCCCTCAAGAGAAACTGTTTTTCTAGAGCCTATTCGATTAGGATTTTATCAGAGCCCAGATGACCTGGGGGAAGGGAAACAACAAACTCCAGCTACTTCTAGCTGTCCTGTCAACTCAGGGAAGTTGGGGGAAGTTGGGGGACACCAGGGGAACCTGAGAAGCACTTGTGAAGTGCACAGTCCAAGGACATGACTAAAGGATTGAGGCCTAATGACAGGATGACAGAAGGTACCTCACATCACGAAAGGACTATTTACTACAGTTCCTTTTCCCTAGTACACTACATCCCATCATCAGGAAAAAATTATAAGGCATACCAAAAGGCAAAAAACAGTTTGAAAGAAACTGCAAACATGAGAACCAGAGTCAAATGTGTGGCAAGATGTTGGAATTATCAGACCAGGAATTTAAAACCACCATGATTTATATGCTAAGGGCTCTAATGAACAAAACAGACAAGAATCCAAGAACAGATGGGTAATATAAGCACCGATGGAAATCTTAAAACACCCCCCGAAAAAAATGTTAGAGGTCAAAAATGCCGTAACAGAAATGAAGATTGCCTTTGCTGGGTTCCTTAGTACTCTGGACACAGATGAGGAAAAAAAAAATCTCTGTGCTTGAGGATATTTCAATAAAAACTTCCAAACTGAAAAGGAATGAAGGAAGGGAGGGAGGGAGGGAAGGAGGAAGGCCCAGAACAGAATATCTAAAAACTATGGGACAAATACAAAAGGTATAACTATGCATAATGGCAATACCCAAAGGAGGAGAAAACAGAAAAAAATATTTGAAGCAATGATGACTGAGTTTCCCCAAAATTACTGTCAAAGACCAAATCACAGATCCAGGAAGCCCACAGACCACCAAGCAGGATAAATACAAAAGAAAAAACAACCCTACGACTTGGTTATCATATTCAAACTGCAGAAAACCAAAGATAAAAAAATCTTGAAAGGAGAGGAAAAAACACTTTCCCTATTGAGGAGCAAAGATTAGAATTAAATCCACCTTCTCAGAATGCATGCAATCAGGAAAAGAGTGAAGTGAAAGAGTTAGGGTTGAGAGGAAAGAAACACCAACCTAGAATTCTACATCCTGAGAAAGTATCTTGCAAAAGTGAGATACTTGTTCAGACTAATAAAAATTAAGGGAATTTGCTTCCACTAGACCTGCCTTGCAAGAAATGTTAAAAAGATGTTCTTCAGAGAGAAGGAAAATGGCATAGCTCAGAAACTCAATCTATATAAAGAAAGTAATAGTACTGAAGGAGTAAGTGAAAGTAAAAGCTTTTATTCTTAAGTGATCTAACAGATAAGTTTGATCAAAATAATAGCAACAAGGTGTTACATCATTTATGCTTATGTACAAATATATGCTTACATATAAGTGAGATGAACAACAGCAGTGATACAGAGGACTGGAGGAGGAATGAGGTGTCTTAGTGAACTCAGGCTGCCCTAACAAAATACCACAGACTGCTTGCTTAAATAACAGGATTTTATTTTCTCACAGTTCTGGAGGATGTAAGTCCAATATCATGGTGTCAGTAGAGTCAATTTCTGGTGAGAATTCTCTTCCTGACTTATAGATGGCCTCCTGCCCACTGTGCACTCACACGGCAGGGTGGAGAGAGAACAAGCTCTCTGCTTTCTTCTTATAAAAGCACTAATCCTACCAAGAGAGCCCCATTCTCGTGACTTTATTTAAACCTACTTATCTCCCAAAAGTCCATTCTCCAAATGCTATCGTTTTGGGAATTAAGGCTTAACATATGAATTAGAGGGAAAACACAATTCAGTCCATAGCATTCCACCACTTGTCCTCTCCCACAGAAAATACACTCATCCCATGTCACCAACCCCAGAAGTCTTATTCCAGCATCAACTCTAGAGTCCAAAGTCCCATCTACATAACACCACAATCAGATATGGATGATACATGGGGTATGATTCATTCTAAGGCAAAAGTCCTCTCTAGACTGACTCATGCTCTCAACCATCAATGTTACTCTCTTCACACAGTAAGTCTCCGGAGCAACAGTTTAAGTCAAGAATTCCCAAACCTGGCTGTTCACCTGGGCCACCTAGCGGGGTTCATTGTTGATTTTAATTTAGTTTCCCAGGCCTGAACCCAAGTCATACTGATTCACTGGATTTAGGTCAGTAAATTATACACTCATAATCTGTTATTCTAATTGAACAACAATTACTATTATTATAATTTTTAAAAACTTAATGTTTTTGCTATTAGGTTGAACATATGAAAATCATTTTGGGGAAGTAAAAAAAGACTAATATTGGCAATTTCTCATAGTTTATCATAAAACCATACCAGGTCTGTCCAGGAAAAAGTCCAACCATTGTTAATATGACACTGGTTTGTGCAACACAGATGTAACGTGGCAGCCCAGGAGAGTGGACTGGAATGAACGTGGGCAAACAACAGTGACTTCACTCTTCCAGTCAGTGGGGGCGTAGATGCCACTGAGTGAGCGTGTGTACTGTGCGGCTGTCGCATTCAAATTGACTGAGCAAGTAGAGCAATGAATCTGCATCAAATTTTCGGTTAAGCTTGCACATTCCTCCTTGGAAGCTATTCAGATGATTCAGAAGCCGCAGCTATGGGCAACTGGTGATTGGCAGCTTCATCACAACAACATGCCCACTCATGCATCACGTCTTATGCAGAGTTTTCTGGTGAAACATCAAATTACCCAGGTGACTCAGCCCCTCTATAGCCCAGATTTGGCACCTGTGACTTCTGGCTTTTTCCAAAACTAAAATCCCCTTTCAAAGGGAAGAGATTTCAGATTGTGGATGAAATTCAGGAAAATATGATGGGGCAGCTGATGGACTGAGAGAACTATGTGAGGTCCCAAGGTACCTACTTTAAGAGGACTAAGGTATCAATTTTCCTATGTACAATGTTTCTTATATCTTCTTCAATAAATGTCTATTTTTCATATTACATGAAAAATACATGACAGACCTCGTTCACTTACCGTATGTTTTGTTTAAAGCACATTACATATATTAATGCTTTTTTAAAATATTTTATTTATTTATTTATTTAGAGAGAGGGAAAAGGAGGGAGAAAAACGTTGATGTGTAAGAGAAACGATCTCTCACACGCGCCCCAAATGGGAATTGGGCCCGCAACCCAGGCATGTGCCCTGACTGGGAATCAAACCAGCAACCTTTCGCTTTGTGGGACAATGCCCAGCCAAATGAGCCACACTGGTCAGGGTTTATTAACTCTTTCGATCCTTACGGTAACCCTGAGGTTGTTACTAATATTAATTCCGCTTTACAAGAAAGAAAATGCAGTACAGGACTTAGCCAACTTGCCCAAGATCACAGAGCTAATAGGTGGCAAAGACAAGTAACAGAGGCCACGTTAACATAATTCTAATTAATTATTTTAAAGATTTACAATTTATTCATAAAATATATTTATTATAGTTATATAAGTAATATTTAATTAATATGATCATAGGTACCAGATTATGTATAATGAGGC